AAAACACCTTGCAGCCAGATAGAGACAAATTTTGTGCGCATGCAGCAGCAACGGTAAGGATAATGTCATCGCACAGGCTGCATGGCCAGGAACCACACGGCATACAGGCCGACCCAGGGCTCGACCGACCGCGACCGACCTTCCGACCCGGGCCGGAGAGCAGCGCCTCTGGCGGACAGGGGCTAGTGCGTAGGTTTTAGCTTTAGTCCGCCAGGTGGCTCTTCTACGCGTGGGTCTACCACGGAATGGGGCCCCAGTATTCAAGGCTCAGGCCTTATGCAAAGAGAGAATTTAAGCCAATCTTCATGCATACCTATTCTTTTGTCGAACATGTGATTGAAGCAATCATCAAGCTTGGGTAAAAGTGGATAAGCACTCATTCATCATGCAGAGTTCAGCGGCAGGTCGTGAGATCCGAACCCGTCCTTTTCCGAGAGAACGGTGCCGGTGGTATGCAACCGCATTAGATCAGCCCTATTTGTCGCAATATTCCCGAAGAGAGTACCTCAGACACTAGATAAACATTCCGCGCACACTCACCCAGCAAAAACAATGCCCGATGGCGCCGGCGGAACTGAGCATCACCGCTGAGCCGAGAGGTTCTGAGTAAATTCGAGGTATCCGGCCGGCAGGGGCGGGCATCAGCGTTCCACAGCCCAACCGACCGACTGTCCAGTGGCCGGTGACGTCATCCACTGAGTGCAGTATGACGTCATGGTGTCTGATCGATGCCAACCGAGCCCAGAGTTACACCAGAACGAGCGAGCGCTTCGGCAGTGGGTGCACTATCCTATAACTCATGTACTACTGAAGGCATACCTATGTATAACAAAAGCAACAGCTGCTCCGGGTTGGTTGAATGGTTCGTAATGCCGGGTTGGTTCGTATTATGTATTATTATGTCTCGCAAACGCAAGGCGTTGTTCTCTTACCGGAGTAAAACGCCCCAGTAGGACACGGGGCAAAAAGCCCCATGGGGCGTTTAACCTTATGTGTTGTTCGAACTTCGGACCACCCACTTCCTAAATCCTAATGTTCGCTGGCTGGCGAACAGTAAGTTCTTATGCATTTATATGTATTTTCTCAGCAACTGGATGGCAAAGGAAAAATTTTGTTAGCATTGGCAGTGCAATAATTTATTATTTGGCCTTATGAGGCAGGTGAAAAACATGGTCATCCAAAGTGTCACAGCTGAACATCCGATAGGATGGAAGTTGCTAACTTCAGCGCCGTGTCTCCAGCGGTTTAACGAATCTCGCATGCATATAACATTGAGCCAATTACCATGTTTAAATTTCAATCCAGAGTATGGGGCTTCTTGCCCCAGGCCGTGGGGCGTTTTGACCTGGGGGTGAGGTGAGGCAAAATGCCTCATTTGCAGTTGCTTCACAAATCACTTCCTAGCTGGGAGTTCGATCACAAGTGAATGAATCTGAGGAGTGGAACTTAAAGTAAAATGTTCAAAGAACACACTGAGCACAAACGTTACCTTTCAGGTAATGTGGGACAAAAGTTATTTAGCAAAATAAATAATGTGGGGCGTCATGCCCAGGCTACCCTATACTGCATATTTTGCTAAATTAACCCTCGCCCCGTTGGGGGGGGGGGGAGGGTTGGTCCCCCTAAGGTTTTTCCTGGATAGCAAGAAACAGCGGCGCAGCGCCGCCAAATTTCTCAGTCCTTCCCGGGCATCAATTTGACAACTTCACACAAAATTTTGAGTCGGAGGTCACCTTAGGTCAGGAGTTATTGAGGTCAAACTGAAGTCATGCTCGAACAAAAATGAGCAAAAACATGACATCTTGAAACGCTCACAAAATCTACAGTTTACAAGCGATTTCAAAGGTATTTATGTGGTCTTGTAGATAATAGACAGCGCTACAAACCTGCTGTTTCGGATTTTCAGAATTTTGGGATTTTGACCCAAAAAAAAATACTGATTACTGACAACTGATTTTTTAAAGAAAAGCTTTAAAAAATCCTAAAAATTTCGAACTTCGAAAAACGGAATACACTATGATAGTCCCTGCGCTCTTCTATCTAAACACAAAATTTTAGATCGATACCTCCTTTTTTGGCCAAATTATAGCGGGAAACTGTTCAAAATTGATGACGTCAAATTTTTAACTCAACTTTTAGCAATTCTAGATCACGTTGCGCAAACAAAGACCGCCATTAGACTCCCCGTGACGAGCTGCATCGAATCGATACCCATTTTATGCAAAAATATTATGTTTGAAATTTGACCTAACTTGACCTGACCTTGACCTGACCTTCATCGGAACAGAACATAACCTTAACTGGCCCAAAGGCTGCCTGACCCGCAAAATCGCATTTGTCATGTAAAATGGGCCATAAAACATGCATCATATGATATTTTCATATTGTGACCTTCAGTGACCTGACCTCTGTGACCTGACCTAGTATCAGTGACCTCAAATAGCAAACACTATGTGTTTGACGAACAATTCCCCATCGATGATTTTTAATGACATGCATTTTACTCGATTTTACAACACATTTCTTGAAATGCCTGTGCTAACGGTGAAAATTCGACATTTGACCTGACCTATGACGTTATCGGTTTGACCGAGGTCAGTGAAACTTGATCACAAGGCAGTTGGCTAGCCCTATTGGGGCTAGCCAAAACCGTTTGCTGCTTGTCGCTATGTTGCGTGGTTCTCGAGATCTTAGGGGGGGGGGGCGCAAAATGGGTCCCCCCAACGGAGTGCGTTGCTCGGCAGACCCCAACGGGGAGCGGGTTAAAAGTGACTAAAACACTGTTATTGTTCATTGTTTATTGTTAATTGAACACTTAAAAACTCATCCATACAACATGGCTATTCTTGAGTTCGAGTCATAAGAGGTAAAATAGTAAATACGAGGAGATGGTGACGCAATCCAGCTCACAGAGAAACGTATACATGCACAGCATACACATGTTACCAGGCCAGGATACACATGTTACGTATACACATGTTACCAGGTCAGGTTACGGAGGTCAGGTCACTAGGGGTCACAACATGAACCCATCGCGTGGTCGCGTGATGGTTTTTTTATTATCAATTTTACAGGTCAAATTCAATGATGTGGTTTAGGTGAACATTGGGGTCAGTTTTGGTTACGTTCTGGTGAAGGTCAGGTCAACTTCAGGTAAAAAAAGAAGCTTAACCCTCAAAATTGATATTTTTGCATAAAAATGTAAAATGGGATATAGCTCTTCACATCACAAGGAATCCAATGGGGTCCTAGTTGTACGATACACGGTCTAGAACGGCTAAAAAAGTTGAGTTTAACCCTCGCCGGCACAGGCAATTTTGTGTCCTTCGACGGCACAAGGGTATGTACCAACTACCAACCAACCGTCTTTCGACGGTTGGTACGACCCCCCGCCCTCGCGTTTGGCCCCTGATCGAGCGAGAGCTTCACAGAAAAAAACGAGCGTGCTGCCCGTGACGAAAGGAAGCTGATGATACCCAATTTTAAGGTCCTGGGTCATTGGTTGACCTTCCGGATCAGGACAATGACCCAAAAGTCGGGAAAACCGAGACCTGTTAGAACGTCGTAAAGTGTGGCTGCTATGTCTTTTTTTCGGGGTGCTGATCACGAATATCATGTTAGTTTTTATCACAGATGATGTCTTTATACATTTAGGCCAGGTCGGATTAGGTCAGGTCAGGTCAACCAGTAAAAGTCGTGACGGGTATTCGTAGAAGGTACGTGTCAGGTGCCTCTGACAGCTCCGTAACATGTTACGAAGGCAGTGGCACCAAAACTACCTACTTCGTAAATGTTCAAATGGTTGCTAAATTCGAATTCAGCTTCAAAAACTAGCCTAACAACATGCAAAACTCGAAAAAGTGGAAGTGGACCGAGGTCACCAAAGGTCGATGACCTGACCTGACCTTCAGGTGACCTTTACATCCATCCTAAATCCTAATGCATGGGAGCAACATAAAATCACACATTTGAACGCTTGAAACCACGAAAAGACTGTAAACGCGCGGCTAATTCGAGCCGACATACGCCGAATCGCGATTCCTCCCAAACATGGTCTCGGAAAATAGGTCACAGGTCAATGGTCATTTAGGTCAGGATCATGAAATTTTTAGGGTAGGTGTAAAGTTGATGAACGCGAGGCTATTGAAAGTTTCGTCGCGATCGGCCGCTTTTTACGCGAGATATTTGCGAACAACCTTACGGGGGTTGCATCACCCCTCAATGTGCTGGCGAGGATTAAAAGTTGCCTTCGTCAATTTTGAGTTTTTTAAAGTTGGTTTGGCGATGGATGACCTGTAGGTTTTATAATACATTTTCTTTTAGATTTGTAAGATTTTTTTTTTAATAGGATATTTTATCCACTACATTCTTTTTATTTTTTGGTCCAATTCATAATTTTCTAAAATCCGAGATAGCAATTTTGTATTCCTCCTAATTCTACATCTTTTCTGTGTTAGACATTTTTTTTCTATCTTCAAAACTGTATGTAGCTTCAAGCCTGACGCATGACAGCTCCTCCTGTAAAACCTTGTTTGGGTCGAAAATAACAGAACATGACGTCATTCTGACGTCCTTTGCAACCAACCTAGCATAGCCTCTGGAAACAATTTCAGCCACCATATGGAAAATTGATGGCAGGAGGGCTCCTGAAAGTTTGATGGTGATATTATCAGTACCTACTACCTACTTTAGGCGATATCGATGGCAAAGGAGAAGGGGGCGTTTCGGTCCCCTTACGGAGCACAGGCCGTTGAAACGCGATGGAAGGCACTGACATTAGCGCAATTCTTGGGCGGAACATTTGTCAAGTTGTCAACACTTTCACGCGGTGTCCCTTCCCTTCTGACATGTCACTCATAATGCCCGTCTCAGTTCTGATGGCTCAATCTATGCCGAGTCAGGTGTCACCCGCCGCCCCCGTGAGCCCGTCCCTGATTGGCCGCCCGCGCGACCGCGCTCTGTGATTGGTCGAGCCGACAAGGCGGCACCCGTCATCTCCGGTGCATAGCTCCCACGTGCACACGTGTGTGACGCGAGTTTGACAGTCGCGCGGTCGGCTCTCGCCCGGTGTGAAGCCGGCTCCAGTGGCGATGTTGTGCCCTACAGGTATCGGAGCGAAGCTGACGGGTCACGGCGATCCGTGGCCGTTCACCAGTGACCAGCTGTGGCGGATGGCTCCCGTTCTAGCCCGGCGGGCTCGCCGCTGTCGTCTGGCCCAGTTCGGAGGATCACCTGCGCGCCGGTGTCTCTCCGAGCCGCTCACCAGCTCCCAACTCAGTCAGTTCGTCAAAGAAGAACACGCCGCTTGCTGCGCATCCGACCGGCGCCGATACAACTTTGACTTTGAGACGATGGAGCCGCTGGAGGGTCGGTTCTTATGGGAGCCTGTCGATCAACCACCACGGCTGGCTGACAGCTCAGAGTCGGAGTTTGGCTGCGACAGCTCGTCGGAGCTGCAGACACGGACGGTGCCGGTGGTGCTGAAAACGACCCCGGAGCTGAGCCGCCCAGCGCCACTGAAGGAGACAGAGAGGATATCAGCCTGTCCTCCCGACAGTCCTCTCAAAGCAACCGAACACACCTCCAGCACGGGTGAGTGGAGCGAGACAGAAGGTGGATCCTGTCCAGTGTGGATATAGCGGGACATGATTGCTCATGATCATGTATAATTTCTCCGTGTGCTAGGAACGGAATCGGCGCGGGGATAAGCGAATAGAACTAGATTCGGGCTGGGCGGGGATGTTTGGCTCCTTGGACGTCATCGATAGCAGTGCACTTACATTATCTACAAAAAAAAAAAATGACAGCATCAACGAAATATGTCCCCACGTTCAACAATGCCACAATATCGCTAACGCGCGTTTTGCTTTTGTTTCAGACATTTCTCGAGCCGGAAAAAGATCCGCTATCTCTGTGCGCGATAGCCGCCCTCCACTGGCAGAAATCTGCAATGACCGGGACCACCTCCGCTTCAGAGAGCTGCTGCCATGCCTCGCTGACGAAACAGTGCACACTTCTCCGTCTCCCATAGAAAGATAAACGAACTGTCGGATCTCGGCTCACGTGGTTTACAAGTCTTTGATGGGACACAGCCACCTGACGAGATCCAATAATTTGGCTCGATGAAGCAGACGAGGTTGGCTCAAGGGGGCTTAGTGGGGCCTGTCCCAGATAACAGATGGAAGGTGGTGAGCGCAGCCCCCTGCAGTGATCTCATTTCAGCAGCCGCTCACTGATCTTGGCCTCACATCCCTTGTGGGCAACCACACCAGATGGCCTATATCCCACTGTGCCATTCATACTCACCTCGAAAGTGCTGAGTTCTGAGTGATTCGATGTGATGTTTGGAAAGTGTCGTTTCAACTTTTTTACTTTTGTTGTGTGGCTAATTTTCTCCTGTTAACCCCGCCCGCGCGTTAAACGTCCATCGTATCATTGTGCTTGATCTAACAATGCTTATCACTTACTGGGGGGGGGGGGGGGAGGGGGGTGGTCTTGTTTAGGTTTAGGGTAGGAAGTTAAGGACTATCAAAAGTTTCACAGCTAGCGGCTTTTCATCAGTGTTCACTATAGTAATCGTTTTCGAGACTGAGCCGGTTCGAGAAGAGATTGTAGTGTATAGGTGCCCGATGGGTGAAACTTCATCACTGCCATATTCATAGTCGTTCTGTGGAGGAGACCCTGCCAAGGAGACGTTGGGCTGGTGTGATCTCTCACTGATACCAGTGATACTGTGAGCTGATACCAGTGATACTCTGTTCGTTGTCTTTCGGCCAGCGTAACCACTGCCGTCGTCTGTTACTACCCTTTTTCAACTGTGGAGGGCGCCAACGTCTGTGATGCCGTTCTCGTTTTAACAACACGTCACGTGCTGCATGTATGAGACGGTGATGATCTTGGATGACAATAAATGTTGTTATACGCATTGAGCGAATATTCATATTCGCGAGCGTTTCTTGAAGTACCTGAAAGGTAATAGCAAGCCATTTTAGAATAAAAATGAGAAACTGAAGAAAGAACGTCGTCTAACCATCAAAATGTTTCATGTCCTTCATTCAGGATATTTTAATATTGACTGCCTTGCCAGTTCGCTAACCCACAATCCAGTGGATAGTTGAATGGTCACTGGTCATCTCGCCTCATCTCTCAGCTCCCAGTTCCGTACCAAACGTTTCTCATCTCACCCCACCCTTCCACACCCTCTTCATCCATAAGGTTTCGCAAAGGAAAATACTTCAGACGCTCCTCTTGGGCCCGGTGTAAAAACTGGCACCGTTTTTGTGCGACCGACTCGAGGAGAGTGACTGTCGGATTGGGCCGGCGTGTCGCCGACGGTCTGAGCCCGTGATGACCCGGCGCCTCCGTCGACCGTTCCGTCGAGACGCGCCCCGGAGGCAGCTCTCACCGCCGTCCATTCAGCCCCAACGGCTTCCCATACCTTCACCTCGCCCGGTTCCCTTCCAAAATTCAAACTGAGAAAGGGAGAGGCGGTGGCGAGACTGAGATGGATGGTTGGCTACCGCGCCTGTTAAAAGAACGGGTAGATGGAGAGAAGGAAAGAAAAATAAATGATCTAAGGGGTAGTCGTCCCGTTCAGGCTTCAGAAGAACGTCTTCCATGAAAAGGTGGACTTAAAATGTATTACCGTTTCCATAGCATGAAGTATGCATTTCTGCCACGCCCCAGGTCACTTGGCCAGGTCACCAGGTCACGCTAGATCTTAGATGACCTCCCCCACTTCACCGACCGAACTTTCGAGGTCGATCTGAGTGACAGAACACATGAAATGCATTTCATGTCGCATATCCTGGATTTTCAACCTAGGTATGTACTATGTAACCGGACCAGGTCCATTCTGCTAACTCCCAATAATCCAAAGTCATTGGGAGAAAAGTAGTATCTTCTTTACTGCGAAGTGCGAACTGATTCATCCAAACTCCAAATACTTTATAGCAATTTATCAAACACACCTACCCGTGATATCCAATGAGCACCAGCAACTGAAGCATTGCACCGTCCACGAGATGCTGAAGATGTGATGTGTGCGCTACCGTTTACCACACAGTGGGCCGACCCAAGATACCTATAAGAAACGGCCGACCGGGCATCGCACCGAGTCGGACCTGCGCTTTTGCGATATAGCTAGCCAGTGCACAGTGGGCCGATATGCCATTCTAGCGCGACGGGACCTGAATCTTCGAAAGGAACCCTTGGTTTTTCGCGAGTAATTCGCGTAAAAAGCGGCCGATCGCAACGAAACTTTCAGTACCCTCGCGATAACTACTTTTACAGTTAACCTGAAAATTTCATGACCCTGACCTTAATGATCTTTGACCTGTGACCTTCTTTCGAGGCCATGTTTGACCGGAATCGCGATTTAGCGTATGTCGGCTCGCATTAGCCGCGGGTTTGCAGTCTTTTCTTGGTTTAAAGCGTTCAAACATGGGATATGATGTTGCCCCCATGCATTAGGGTGGGTGTCAAGGTCACCAGAAGGTCAGGTAAGGTCATTGGCCTTTAATGACCTTGGTTCACTTTTTCGAGTTTTACATGTTTCTAGGCTAGTTTTTGGAGCTGAATTCGAATCTAGCAACCATTTGAACATTTACTATGTAGCTTTGGTGCCTTCGTAACATGTTACAAAGCTGTCAGAGGCGGTTGCCACCTACTGCAAATACCCGGCAAAACCCTTACTGGTTGACCAGACCTGACCTGACCCGACCTGGCCTAAATGTATGAAGACATCATCTATGATCGTAAATAACATTATATTCGTGATCAGCACCCACAAAACCCATAGCAGCCACCCTTTACGACTTTCTAACAGGTCCCGATTTTCCCGACTTTTGGGTCATTGACCTGACCTGGAAGGTCAACCGATGACCTAGAACCTTACAATTGGGTATCATCAGCTTCCTCTTGTCACGGGCAACACGCTCGTCTTTTCCGCGAAGCTCTAGCTTGATCAGGGGCGAAACGGCGGGGGTCCAACGGACCCCTTATATACGTTCGCGGCTGGAAAAACACCACTAGGGGCGAGGGTTAAGCCAAATGTGAGGGCTTATTTCAGAAAGACCGCTAAAAGAGCAATTGAATGCACTTTCCCGCGACGATGTAGCTCTATTGGTCCCCGAGGTAAGGGCCGGTTTTCGAGAAATGTTGATATATGCAACATTTTACTTTTGATGACCTCTGGTGACGTGACCTTTGACCTGACCTAGAAATGACTAATTACTCCATCTGGAATTTCGGGCGCTCTTTCGAATGCCACTTACTACGTGTCGATATGTGGCCCAAGAGCCGAGTTAGAAGGGGAGTGTTCAATCAACATCTCCCGGCCCGGCGCGTTTGACGCCGAGCACCGGTCCGGCGCGGGTTGATGTTTGGCTGCTACATCCAAAGTCGCAAAAAGTCGCAAAAAGTGACTGTTGGATCTTGTAGTGCAATGAATCATTGACATGTAGCGAGATTTTCGAAGCGGTACTCCGCGGTACTTTTTTTAAAAGTCTATTTGTGTGCGACATCAAGTATGTGAAATTATATTTTCGTCTTTAAATCTTTGCGGTGCCAATACATCATAACCAAGTAAGAGTTCGCCATTTTCATGTGGTTATGTGTGTTCTGCAGACCCGGAGCTATCGTTTGATGTATATAAATGTGGAATTCCTCCTCAAATTGTGATTATTTTCGTGGATCAAAGATACGTTGTCGAAGAGTGCGGGGGACGAGTTCGGTCCAAACGATTCCGAAGTTCGTGTTTAAGCTGAGTTTTCGCCATGAAATAGCAATTGTGTTGGAAAACAAAGACCACAGCAATGTAGTATGATCATTTTTGAACAAATTGGCATAGGTTTCATTGCACATCCACAAAGTTCGATTTTTTTACCCATGTCGTGCTAGACCTGGCGATCGGCCCAGTGTGCAGTGGCCACGTGCCTGCTGCATCGCGCGCTGAGCGACACATCGCCCGCTGACTGAGGCGCGCAAAAAGGGGGCGTCACCACGCTGCACGTGGTGAGATTTGGCGGGAAATCGGTGCGTCGCGGCGCCGGCTGGCATTGAGCGCGCCCGGTCCGCGAGTTGTGGACGCCGTGAGCCGAGCCAGGCGACCCTGAGATGACCGGCCCCGTGCGCTGAAGGCCAGCCGGCCGGCCACGGCGCCGTGTCACCGGGACAGACGCCGACGCATCGGCGTCGGCGTCCAGAAACACCACGTGACTGTTATGGTGATACTCCGGCACATGTCACGTGACCCTGACCGTGAGGCGCCGGCGCGGTTTGGCGCCAAGAACTGGCACCAAGGTCAGACGTTTGGCGCGCGCGCGGTGATGAGTAAACTGATGGCCACGCGCGACACGTGAGGGGGATGGGAGGCCGCGCCGACGCGACAAACTCCCAGTAGTACGGCGCACGTGATACCAGCGGCGCCGTTCCCCAGGGAGGGGGGGGGGGGGGCGTTACACGCGCGCCGTCGAGCCGCCAGTTTGGGTTAGCACGGCGCCGCCCGGAGTAAACATTGACGGCGGGAAGTTGGCGACCGTTTGCTGCGTGCTAGCAGTTGCCAAGTGACGAATCAAACTGGTGACTGGTGTCGGAGTGGTTGGCGACATCTACATATTCCCAAAGCTTATTGACCACCTGAATTTACCCACCCATTCGCATATTTCATACCAATAGTATAAAGTGTAATAAGCAAGAGGAACTAAGAAGAAGCCTAGGTAAAAGTATTAGCAAAGTAATCTAAAATCTTGGGCAAAAGGCCGTGCCTTGGCGTCCCGTATAGTCTCGGGTGAAATTAGTGGCGAGGGGGCTTTTAACGTTTTTACGCCACAGCCTCGCTCGGCTCCAGCTAGTAACGTGAGGTCACGCGTAACGGCAGGTGGACAGCACAGCAATCAAAAGGCCACTTAACATATCACGAAAAAAAATATTGTAAGGATACATACCGGACCGGGTGGCTTTAAAACAGTTCGTCGTTCTCATCTTCAAGTTCGCGGTTTTCCAAAACAATTCATCGAAATGTGGCGCCAGCTTCTTCGCCCAAAATAAATGCTTTGCTTCATACCAGTTGCTTCATATTGATTAGCAAGTACCTAGAGTAAACAATCGATAAGTGTAGGTACGGCTGATTTCGCAGTTACTCATGGTTAAATATAACGGTAATTGTAAATAAATGAAGCACGGTGATATCGTCAAAGACTCAAATGCCTCAAGGAAACGTTATTTGATACAAAAAAGCTGACATCAGCTGTCAGCAGTAATAACGTTACATGTCATCAAAACAATGAGGGTCGTAACTCGTAAGCACGCGGTCACAATTGCTGTAGCCATGTGGCCCGCGCTGGCCGAGGCGCCGCCGTTCTTTTCGTTGCACGCCTGGCGGCACGGTGCCCGCCAAAAGCCCGCTCCGGCACCGGCTCCGGCACCGGCGCGGCGCCTGCAGACAGGGGCAGGTACAGACACGATCGGACACGAATGGCACGAGCGGCCTGTCCGGTCCGCGCCAAACGGCGAGACGGCATTCCTAATTTGTGACTGTTTTCCAGTGTGTGCTGCTGAATCACCAAAAACGCAAGACAAAGGCGTAGGTTGGTATTGTGTCTCGTAGCGAGTTAGCGCGAATAGCGGGGCAAAGCACCTCCAACATATTTGGAAGATGACCAATAAGCATGAGCAATGAACAGTCATTTCAGAAACCAGAGTACAAACGGAGTCGTTTCGAATTTTGACGCTTTTTACACTAGATACCATAGTGATTACTGATTGACCACCGCAAAGATTGGCGATCGATTTTCAATAAACCTGTGGGTTTGGGTGGCGGGTGCCACCATGCATTGTTGCCTCTGATCGCTGAGTCTCCAACGTCTCCCTGCGGCGCAGTGCAGAGGGGCGCCAAAGCTGCCCCCAGACCAGACGGTATTTCCGGT